GGCGCGTGGCGGCTGCTGCCCCAGCTCTCGATGGTGCGCGTGGCGCGGTCCAGGGAGCTGCTCACGCCCGCCGTGGTCACCATGTCGCGCGCCGCCTGCAGCATCTTGAGCACGCTGGCCTGGGCCGAGCCGGCCGTGAGGTCTGGGCTGGGCGGCCTTGCGGGGCTGGCCAGGCTCTGCACCCCACTGAAGCAGCTGTAGATGCCCTGGATAGGAGGAAAGGCAGGCTGTGAACAGCGCCCTCTCCCCCGTGAAGAGGCTCCACTGTCCTTGCCCTGCCCCAAGCCTGATGGCCTTCAAGTCCCCGGAAGCAACCATTTGTTAGGCGTCCCCTATGTGCCACGCTCTGTGCTGCTTTTCAGATGAATTTGACGTCTGAACCTCCAGAAGCCAATTCTAATCAATCACACTATCTAGTAAATGGCGCTGGAGGGTTCCAACCCCAGTGGTGCTGGCAAACCAGCCACCTCCCAGGACCTTGGTTTGCACATCTGTAAATGGGGCCATGGCCAGCTCTGACTTAACTGGTTAGTTAGTACCCCAGGCACCTACCCTGCTGAAAGCCAGCAGGAAGTCCAGCTGGGATGTGTTGGGCACTGAGTGACGCAGCTTCCAGTAGACCAGGTGCTCCCAGGCGAAGACCAGGAGGGCCAGCCCCATGGCCACCAGCAGCATGTAGAAGACCCCAGCCATATTGTCAATGTCCAGCTTGCTGCTCATCACTTCATTCTTCTCATTGTGGCAGATCCCTGAGAGCCATACTGTCTCCAGTTTCTGGGTCTCTCCTAGGGAAGAGGATGCACCTGGCTCAGGAGCCAATCATAATGGACCCACTAACAACACTCAACCCGTGCCTGGATGGAGGAGGGGTCTGGGGACAGGATACCACCCCCTTATTTCTCAAGTGGGACCACTCAAGTGAGATGGGGGCAGTGTCAGCCAAAACAAAAGCAAGCAAAGCAGAAGCTGTGGGCCACCTGCTCGCCCCCAGCAAAGACCACCCACGTGCCCAGGAAAGGCTTGTTTGATTGGGTCAAGTTTAGCATCCCTTCATCTGTTGTTCACTGGTCATTGTACACTTTACCCTCTGCACACTGAGCATGAGCTGGGCCCCTTGGAGACCACAAGCACCACTTAATAACGAGAGCAATACTTAATCAGGATGGGGCTCCTCTCAATACTCCCTGGGGTTAGGGCGGGCACATGTGAACCCCTGTTCCCAGAGCTAGCCTAGCCCTGGTTCTGGACTACCCCAGGTAATCTCAGGATGGAAATGGGGAGACCAAACTGCAAAGGAGGTGCTCATCTGGGAAAAATCATGGGAGGGGTCCTGGAGAAAAAGAAAGTTCAGCCACCCGCAACCCCCTGTGTGGCCCTACGCCTTCCTTATCATCCCTGCCCTTTGGGGGACTCCCCAGTTCTGGTTCGTGCTCCTTCCTACAAGCCCATCCCTTCTCCAGGTCTTCATGCAGCACTCCTAAAACCTGCTCCCCTACTGCCCCAACCTCACCCCCAGAGCCTCTTCCTTCCCATAGGCTGTGGGCACACAAAGTGGTAGTCGAGATACCCTGGGACCACCCCAGCCCCCAGCAATGGTAGCACCCACCATCCCCCAGGAACTGCAGGAGTGCCAGGTCTATGGCCCGCTTCCAGTGGGAGTCCTTCTGCATGGCGATACCATAGCCAGTGGTAGCAAAGACTTTGCCAGATCCAATGGTGACCAGCTTGCAGCCTTCATCCTTGCCCGCCATGTAGTTGAGGACAGCGGCATCATAGATGAAGGCGTCCAACTTCCTGGGGATAAGCTGAGCCCTCAGGGCCAGGGACCATACAGGTGGGAGGGGGCATTGACCCAGGGCCTGGCGGGGGTCTGAACACCTGAGATTGTTGGGTACCACCAGTGAGGGACAGGTGGGCAGAGCCTTCTCTGTTGCCTTTGCAAGGACCACTCCCACCTTCCTCCTCAGAGAAGCCCAGGAACTGTGTCCCCAGAGGACATGCCCCTTCCCCTGCCCAACCTCTACATGTCTCTAAGACCCAGCGAAAGACAACCACCACCATGTCAGGCCAAGGCTGAACTCTGCTCAGCAGCACAGCTGTGTGTCTGGAACATGGTGGGCCTCCATTTCCATTCCAGCTCTGCTCTGCCCCATACCCTTTCCCCCTTTCCCAGAAGCCCTGCGGGATAACCCAGCCCCACTGTCCCCACCTTGGGCCTCTCGGGAAGGAATGGAGCTAAGACTTGTCACTGGGGAGACATGTGGCTGGCGACAGAGGGTGAGTGCACGGCTGGGGACCCATAGGGACCCACCCCATCTTGAGGCTGGTGAGCGCATCCTCCACTGATCGCTGGTTGAACTTGACCATGTGGGTGTGCATGTCCCGGTAGTTGCTGCGGATGTTCCGCTCTGTGCTGCCATTGGGCACTGTGCCAAAGCGGAAGGGCGGGTACTGATCCTGAGGCCTCTGAAACTGCAGGTGGAGGAAGCAGCCATCTCTACCACTTCATCCAACGTCCCAGGCGCCAGAGCCCCAAATGCCAGCCCCAGAGCCCAGCTGCATAGCTGGACTTGCATAGTCAGAGCAGAAGGACCTGAGACACAGTCCAGGCTGCATGCATATTTTACAAATGGAGAATCTGAGGCCCAAGATGGGGTGAGACTTACCCAAAGCCACTCCACCACTGGACTTCAGTGGTCACTGCCCATTTCCACCCCCTTACTACCCCACATCGCCCTTCTCTGGCCTCCAGTTCAAATTCCCCACACTCTGATCATCCTATATCCACCCTCCCACGGCCTGTCCCCACCCTTGGTGTCCCCACCACCACCTCCACTGGCCGTGGCCCCAGAACCTTTTTGTCACTGAGGCCTGACACGGTGTCGATGTACTGCTCCTGGATCATGAAGGCAGCCAGGTTTGCAGTGTAGCTGGCGAGGAAGATGACGGCGAAGAAGGCCCACACCAGGACCATGATCTTGCTGGTGGTACCGCGGGGGTTCTCGATGGGCACCGAGTTGTTGAACACCAGTGCCCACAGCAGCCACACAGACTTGCCGATGGTGAAGGACGGGCCCCCGGGCTCTGGGGAGGAGGGTGGATGCTGGGACTCTTCTTGCCCACCAAAGGGCTTCTGTCTCGGCCCCAGCCTGGACCCCATCACTGCCCACCCCCTGTCCCCGGGCCCAGGCAACAGACAGCTAGCTTACTCTTGCCCTTGGTGAGGTTCTGGTTGTAGCTGACGGGGCTGAAGTACTCGAACATGAAGACAGTGATGGCCACCACGGTGAGACACATGACAAACATCATCACCCACACTGCGGGGCTGTAGGGCTCTGGAGACAGAGGGCGGTGACTCACACCTCAGAACTGCCTCCCTCAGCCCCCACCTGGTGGAGATTGGTGGGTCCATCTGCGGATGGAGCCAAGGTGACCTCTAACCCTGATTCTGAGCAGCAGAGTCCCAGGAGAGACCCCCAAGGGAGGTCAGTCTCTCCCTTCCCTCTGTCTCTGCAAGCTCACATCGCCCACCCTCAGGAGCCTTCCTTTGGCCTCACGTCCTCTGCCTGGCCCGGCAGGAATGACCTGGTCTTTCCACCTGGAATCAGAGTCTCCAAGGCCAATTCCCAATCCTCCTTCTACTGACATGGAAACCAAGCTCAGGGCACTGGAGGGAAGGACCCAGGTCCACGCCTCCTTGAAAAGCGATCGTTATCACCGAGAACACCTGCTCTTTTGCCATGAAGACGCCTCTAGGAAGTCAGATTTTTCTCCCTGTGGCTAAGGAACCCACTCAGAGAGGTTCAGTGACTTGCCTAAGACCACCCAGCAGGAAGGGCAGAGCTGGGACTTCACTCCTGCTTAGGAGTGAGCTGGGACCTCACTCCTCCTCCTCGGGACAGCTCTCAGCCCCTCCTCAGCATCCTGCCTGTCCTCACAGTTCTCTGTGCCACTTAGCGCTGCCAGTCCCACCTGACTCCTAACTGGACACTCAGGAAGGCAAGAACCAGGCTGTATCCTGGGCACCTAGTGGGACCTGGTACAAAGGGTGCCTCCCAGTGAGAAGTGGGCATCTCTTCCCACTCCCCCGAGGCCATGGTTCCCTGTCCCTCACAGTGGCACATCATCTACCCCTTCTCCCTACCCCCACCCTCAGCACTGATGTCCCTTCCAGCTGCCCAAGTGTCTCATCTCACCCATGACACTCACCCCATGGGCCCTTCCGCCCCAGAGCCACCCCTGCCCGCCCGAGCCTCACCCAGGAAGGCCGAGGGGGAGACGGTGCCATTGCTGCGAGCCACCATCACGCTGATGCCCGTCTCCACGAAGGGCACGGAGAAGTCCACGATCTCCGATCGCTCCTCATTGATGGTGAGGGAGCCGATGGCCATGTCTGCCCGCTTGTAGTACACCTGGGGCCACGAGGGGACTGAAGAAGGGGCTCCCGAGAGCTGCAGCATGCTCCCCAGTCCCCGCCGGGTACCCCTTCTGGCCCCCACCAGTGGACTCCGGAGTTCCCACCTGGGGTCCCCAGGGCTCAACCTTCAGTGATGGCCACACACATTATTGTGACAACCGGAGGTGGCCCAGAGCCGATGGAGCCTGGCCGTATGTAGGTGGGTGGGCCCAGGGTGGGCTGGGGCCAGCCTACCTCCCCAATCATGCCGTTCCACACGCCGCGCACCCTCTTGCCGTGCTTGCCATTGGTCACCAGGTACAGGTCGTAGGAGAACTTGACCACCTTGGCTAGCTTCTTGAGGATATCGATGCAGAAGCCCTTGCAGCAGAGCTTGGTGTATGGGGCTGCGTCACCGCTGCTGCAGCCGCCACCGCAAGAAACCACCAGGAGTCAGCACCCCACCTGGGCCGCAGACCCTCCCCACACCCAGGCATAAGGCACGCAACCGCTGACCCTCCAGTGTCGGCACCCAGCTCACACCAGACCTGAAGGTGTGGTTGCTTTGCCTGCGGCAGGGCACAGTGTTGGGTACGCAGCCCCCGGTGCCAGGGTCAGGGCTCTCCACAATGACAAAGGGCCGCTCTTCCAGGGTGGCCACTGTCAGGTGCCGGCTGTCCACCACAGGCTGCAGGGAGGCACTATAGCGAGGCCATACGGGGTACTTCATGTAGAGGACTCCATGATCCCAGCGCCCCACCTGCAGAGGACCACCAGCCTCAGTCCAGGACCTTCAGCCCCACTGCCCTCACCCTCTAGGTGCCCATCCGAGCACAGCCTCCCAGGGCCAAGAATGCCCCTTTGGTAGGGGCATTTGGGGCAGACAGAGGCAGGGCTGGGGCAGAGGCATTTGGAGAACAGGAGACAGAGCCAGGGCCCAAGCATGGGCCAGAGGCTGGCTCCCGAGCCTCCCCCAGCCCTGGTCCCTGTGCTGCTGCCACCCAGGCACCCTCCTCAGGCCCTGTGCCCCTGCCTCACAATGCTCAGTCCCCTTCTTCTCCTCAGCTGACACTCCAGGACCTTCACACGTGTCCCACCACCCCATCCTACTTCCTCAGTCATATCACTTTAAAACGCCCTTCTGCCTGTACCAGGCTAGACCCCTCCTGGTGGGCTTCTGCCCAGCCCTCTGCGGCCCACCTCCGGGTCCTGTATTCCCTAGTTTCCTCCTTTGAAGGCAGAACTAGTCCTGCTCCTCCTGTCCACTGCCATCCTGGTTTGCACATGGCTCTACTCAGCACGGACGACTCTGTATTCTATTTGTTTCCACAACTGTCTGGCGGGCACACACGTGGGTCAATCCCCTGGGGCAGGACTGTGTGATAAAAGTGCTTGATACGCTTTGTAGTGGAGGGAAGCCAGCATGTCATGGAGCCCAGAGCAGGGTCTGGGGGACCTGGAAGGTTTCCTAGGGTAGGAGGTCCCAACTGAGACCAGAAGGATGAGGGGCTATGGAAGGACAGAAGAGACTTTGCTCAGCTGTGGGCTTGACCGGGGCTGGGCTCTCAAGATGAGAAAAGACCAAGGGTCCCTGGGCTCACCCCCTTCTCACCATCTCCCAGAGGCGGTGCCGGTTCAGGGCAATCACAACCATGGTGGGCTGGACCAGGTACCCACCAGGGCTGAAGGAGAAGTCTCGGCCCTCCCAGGTGACATTCAGTAAGTGCCTGTAACAGAGGAGAGGTGTCAGTCTGTCCCCATCCCCCAAGCCTATGGCTCTGCCCAACCCATCCACCATCCCATTCCTGTTTCACCACCCAATAGAAGACATTTAGACTTGTTGTGTGATTGTTTTGTGTGTGGTTTGGGGGGGTTGCTTGTTTGTTTTGGAGGGTTGTTTTCTTTAGTATTTGGGGTTGAACAAACCAAAGGGTGTTTTACTACCGAACTGCATCCCCAGTCCTTTTTTAATTTTTTTTTTTTTAATTTTGAAGACAGGGTCTCTCTAGGTTGCCCAGGCTGACCTCAAACTTGCCAGCCTCCCCTGAGCCTTGTGTGGGTGCCTCCCCAGCAGAGGAGATGGCAGACGTGTGCCACACTGCTCTGCTTGCTCTGCACTGTTCCATTTTCCTGTAACACCTCCCCACGCCCTGACTCCTGCTGTTTTCTCAGATGAGGACCCAGAGAAGCGGGGTAACTTGGCCCTAGGGCACACAATTATGGGAGATAGAACCAGTGAGCCCAAGCTCACTGTCACCCAGGTTCCCTGAAGTGCCCCACCCCTCGCCCCCATGCCTGGGCAGGTGCCCACCTGTAGAATGCTTCCCGGGCAGGGCTGACAGGTCCAGGGTGGCTGCGGCAGTCCCCAACAGGTGCGGGCAGGGCGCCGTGATGGCGCAAGTAGCTGTGGGCACCCAGGGCCAGGATGGCAACGCCGTCGCGGACCTTCTGGCGCAGGCTGAGG